TGAAATTGAAAAAATGTTACTACTACCAATCACCACTAAAATTCCTTGAAACTAAAACTCCTTGAAATCTCCTCACCGACACTGCTGCATTCCAAATCTCCGCGTGCGAAAAGTTTTTCAAACCGCAGAACCATGCGGAGTTTATCCGCAATCTGCACACGCTTTGACGTGTTGAATTCTATTGCAGAACCCGCGAAGCCTTGCCTCGTCCGGATCGCCGCGCAACTCGCCGCGTGCCATCCCGGACGAGCCAAAAGTCCCGCACCCGACAACCGCTTGCCAATCGCGCGACGGACGAGCGATCGCGATCTTTGATTTTTGTCGCTTTCTAATTCTATATTCACGATTTCTTCCACGTTTTCATGTGTTACCCGGAAGTTGATTATGATGATAACGATCAACTCAACGTGTTTGCGCTCAAAGATTCGTGTTTTCACAGAACTGATGGCTAGCTGTGAGGTGTTGTTAGCAGATACACTCTACTCAAAGCGGTAAGCGGTTGCCTTCTCGTTTCTTATGCATTCCATAGAAGTATTACACCTACGCTAGCGAATCTCGTTACGCTTCTGAGCACTGACGTTTCCTTCCTGGTTTTTGATTTTGTATTCAAAAGAAGCTTCCTTATCAGGAATCATTCCTTTAGGGCTCAAGCCTAAAGTGGCCAGAACATCGAACGAAAGTGATGTGCTAACTTAGTGGGGGGACTGTAACGACGCGTTTCTGCACCCTGGTCAATTGTGTAAACATCGGAGAAATCCGTGAGTTCAGGGGACACTGTATGGCAGTCGAAGGACGGTTGGGGTTGAGGCAGACACTCTGAACAACTGACTGTGTAAGCTGAGTCGCGTTATCGAGTTCACGACTAACTCATCGACCTGGAGAGTCGCCAGGCACCAAAGCGCCGCGCTCGCCGGGACGTGGCCCCCCGCACAAGTCCAGCCACAAGTAATCGACTCACAGCACCTCGGGCCTCCACCGCTCAAGACAATAAAAAGCATCTGCCGCCGCACCTGCCCGAATCTTGGCGAGAATAGCCTCCACATCGATGTGTTGTAGTGGCAGACATTTAAAGGTGAGGCTCGCAAAACGAAGCGGATCATAGGGCGCACGCATAGTCGGTCGTCCGACAGCAACGATCGCAACTGTCTGACTGTCTAACTGCATCTAATCGTCGAATACTCAGGCAAGTCCGACGATCGATACGCATCCAATGCTGTGCGACAGTTACGATCGTTGCTGTCGTCCGACCGACTATGCGTGCGCCCTCAGATAGTGCACGTTATCTACCATCACATTAAAAGTCCGCCGTTAGTGGTCTGCAAGAAAATCGCAAAATAGAAAGTCTGTTTAGTGTTAACGTACTTAGAGGAGGCGGTGCGGCTCCGCAGCGCTCTATTCGTCTGCTCTCTTTAGTCCCACGAGCAGTACATTTGGCTACCACGTAGCCTTTCGAACCACAGCGGCAACGCAGATTAGCCCTTTACGCGCAAATGGACAGCGCTGCGCAGCCGCGTGTCCCCTCCAACTACGTTAGCGCTCCCTATTCCAAAGTATTTTAGATGACGTCCAGAGAATCCCTTTGGCTTCCTACTTAACCTTTTCAGTTATTCAGTTATTATTTTCAGTTAAGGAGTTGGATAAGCGGCTTCACATGGATGTGAACTCCTCTTCTCGTCCTTATGCGCTTTGGACGAGTACATTCGCTGCTGGACTGCATTATCTAGATGGGAAGAGCCGCTTTTTGGTTGGAAAGAATGCAAGTTAGTAGGTGGTCATATCTCTCTCTGATTCGATAAGGCTGGCGTCAGAGTCCGCGACACGTCGCAGGTTTCGCGCGATTCGCGCGACGGATTACAGAAATACTCTCCAATCCGCCGCCATTTCTGCTTGATGGTGATGGCTGAATGACGACTGTTCATGATTCTACTTGTTTCATATTCAGTGTTTCAAATGTTCAAATGGGCACTTGCATTTTTGTGATTCGCGCAGTTCGCGCCGCGAATCTCGCGAATCGCGCGAAACATGCGACGGATCGCGGGCTTTGACACCGGCCTAAGGTAAACTAAACATTCTCGCTTTTGCTTGCTTGTGCAGCATATAGTATGGGGTAATGTATCTTGCTTTTTTTTCAAAGAGGAGCCACATGCTGCCATTTTCAGGTTGCGACATACGATTTCCCGACTCAATGCTTTCACGATTTCATGCTACAGTACGACGGTTTCCATCAGGAAGCAATTCCGGATTGTTTCTTATAGCTGCAGGGTATTGCTAGGCAACATTAGCTCCCTCACATTCATGCAATTAACACGTTGACGACAGCCCCTTATGCGTGTACCTCGGCAACTTTTTGTTTATTTTTTCACAATCGTCATAACTTCTTCAATAATTCCACTACTGGTAATTGACTCACAGTTTTTCGGATAAGATGACGCATGCACACAGTTTTGAAATATGAAAAGGCCAAATAAACCATAAAAAACTAGCCAGAATCGGGTAAAATTCTGACGCGCATGCGCGTCATGCTGTCGTCAACGTGTTAATTGGCCTCGAATTCACTTTTCTTTGAAGGGTAGCGTAAGCTTTTCAGAACTGCTGAAGTTTTTCTCAATGGAGTTGGCCTTCTGAGCAACGTTCCAGTT